CCACTCTCTGGGTGCGGCCCTCCAGCCAGTTGGTGACCCATTTGACCGTGTGGGTGTCGACACCGCAGTCCCCCAGTTTCTTAATGAGAATGGGGTGAGAGACAGTGTCAAAGTCCTTCTGAAAGTCCAGAAAGACTACGTCCACTGCTACCCCTGCATCTAAGGATTTGGTGACCTGGTCGTAGAAGGCCACCAGGTTGGTGTGACAGGACCTGCCTCTAATGAACCCGTGTTGGTTGCCCCTAAGCATAATCTCCCCTGCTGGCCCCTCGTGGACATGTGCCAGGATAATTCTCTCAAAAAGCTTACCCAGGATCAAGGTAAGACTAACTGGCCTATAGTTTCCTGGGTCGTCCTTCCTCCCCTTTTTGAAGATGGGAACCACGTTGGCCCTCTTCCAGTCCTCTGGCACCACACCAGAGCACCATGAGTGCTCGTAAAGCTGTGCCAGGGGTCTCTGTGCCAGGGTCCTCTCTCCAGCCTCTCACTGGAGCGTGGGCAGTTGTCAGCCAAGTCCTTTCAAAATGGATTACATGAGCTGTGCCCTTGAGGAGAGAGTCCTGGGGCCATGCCCAGCCTGTGGGTTGAATATTGGAGACCTTCATTCTCTTATTAATCTTGTTTGTAGTGCAATCTTACTTAGAGGGAAAGGCATACCAAAGCTACTTGGGGCAGCTGTGACATTTGGGCAGGGCTGAATTAACCCTTTAGTGGGGCCTAGGTGAACAAACTCATGGGCCCCTACTTTTTCACTCAATTATAATAAGTAAAATAAGCATTTGGGGCCCTAGGCATGTTGCCTAGTTTACCTATGTGTTAATCTGACTTTCAACTGTCACAGTGCTCTGCGTGTAGTTTAGTGGCTGTTATTTTCTAGCCCCCTTCCCCCCTCCTCCAAGTTGGTGCCCAAGGCAGGTGCCCCAATCATCCTTCCCTAGTTACACTACTGCTGGGGGCTATGGGTCAGGCCCACCGTGGAAAGAACTGTCTGTATAAAGAGCAACTATTCTAAATGTCCTAATGAAATTATGTTATTTAAAAAAAATATATAGGCCCATGTTTTCAGGAGTGGCCATTAACTGTAGGGCCCTTGGTTTGGGGCACCTTGTTGCATACTGATTGTGACTTTCAGCAGTACTGAGCCATATGCAACTCTAGTTGAAACCCTGTAGGAGCTGCAGGGTTGAAACAAAGTCCAGTGTGATAAGCAACCAAAACTGAAGTATTCAGGATCACTGGTCAATGTAGGCTTAAATCTCAATATTGCTTAAGACCTGCATACCAAAGGGTTTGGGCATCAGCTATAAGGAGGATATGAGCCACAGTAAGGTTGTGCCTGTGCTGGGGGAGGGGGCAGCACCTGTGAGGTCTGAGACTGATTTTTCATATCTAAAACAATCAGTTTCTTGCCTGCTCCAAAAGATGTTAATCAAATCTTGCAACACCTCCATACCTGACCCAGTCACAACTGGAGGGGAACAAGAGTGGACGGGTGAGCCTTACACTAGGATACCTTTTGCGATCTGGAAGAGGGATACAAAGACTTACTCCTCTCTAATCAACAGTGAATGCAAAATTTTCCACATTGTTAAAATAGAAACATTGCACAATTAAATACTGAAGGGTCTGTCACTCTTTCTCTTTTATCCTCAAATATTCAGATAGACCTATCCCATTCATGTAATTACCTACGAATAGTAAATGAAAAGGAGTCACAGAGATATCTGATATGAACAAGAAATTTAGTTTTTCAGTGCTGAAATGGCATGTAAATTACCTGCCTACCCACCAACCCATTTAACCTACATATTTATATAGATAGAATAGGGTAATATTTTTTTAGATTGAGTAGACTCAAGCTTACTTATGAGGCTGAAGCCCCCACAACCAAAATTGTAGGGGAGGGTGTTTTAAGTTGTGCTTGGTGCCAGTTAAAGGTTTTTGTTCCCCGCCTTTTCAATATAAAAGCCCTGGTTAAAAAGGGTCTGTAAATAATTCTGGACTTTTGCATTTATTAAGTGGATTTTGATAGTTTGTTCATTTAAACTTGTGTTTCTCAGCTCGTGGGTTGGGACCCAAATATGGGCCACAAGAATATATGAAAGGGTTGCAAACAAACTTTAAAAAAGGATTCTCTAAAGGAGAAAAATGTGGGAAACCATGGCTTTTCCTTTCCAAGCTGGCAGAGCTCCAGCTTGAGCGACTGCCTGTGGCCCCCCATACTGCCCCCACCCTACACACTGGGGGCTGGCACCTGGGGGAGGGGGGCAGCAGTGCGGAGCACTAGGTTGGGACTGGCCATGGATGTTTACAGATGGGTCCCGGTACAGAAGAGTTTGAGAACCACTAATTTAAATAACTATGTAGTTGCAAATAAAAATGTCACCAAGGTGTCCATTCTAGTTTTCTAGGGACATAAGACTGTTCAACAAAAAATGCTTAAAAATCTGCTTTGGTGCTTCACTGAATTGGGTTTATAACAGATTTTTTTTTTTAATTGCTTACTTGACTACATTTCTTCCTAATCAAACTGAGGTGAACATTACAGTTTCTGAAGGAAAACAAAGTCTCAAGGAAAAGACACTTAAGAAAAGGCTTTGAAATGCAGACAGAGCAGCTGCATAATGATTTTACTTTTCCTTGAGAGGAGCCTGATGAGTCAAGGACTAATTCCTGTCTTGACTAAGAATTTCCTGGTTTATGTCAGATTAAGTCAGAATTCGAATGTTGTTTTGATATAGTACAGTGCATAGAATAATTTCACAGTATCAATACTACAGAGTGAGATGACCTGAGTTAGATGGCAGAGAGCACTCAGATATGTACAGGTTTCCCTTGCTTTATGCGGGTTCTGTATGTGCAAATTTGCTCTTATGCAATAATCCTTTTTATACCAACAATTCATTATATGCAAAGTAAATTCACTCTTATGTGATCAGTGTGGTAGAAGCCCCGCAGTCAGCTGCTTTGTGTGGTGCGTTGTGGGAGTGACATGCACCAAAATATAGTCTCCTGTGTGGATCTGTGCTCCTTGCTCACTGTCTGCAACATGTGTTTCTGTCATTGCCATCCCCATTATGATAGTGCCTTGTGCTTGTGTGTACTGTCTGCTGTTGGCCAAATTTGTCTTGTAAAAGTGGTAGAAATGGGTCTGGGGGTCAGTACAGTTGAGATCTTGGAACATATCCCTATTTGTTACATTGTAAAGTGGATTCCTTTTATGCGAATTTGTTACGCGCCATTTTTCAGGAACGGATGTACAGCATAAAGCGAGGGAAACCTATATCAGGTTAAGACAAGTTCTGCAGTGATAAGGACTTTGTATTTTAACCATCTGAACCACTTAATGTAGCCAGAATGAAGTCCCATGTTTCAAAATCAAATAATTTCTCTTTTCATTGAAATTCCTTCTTGAAATAGACCTTTGGTGTAGGTGCATTGCCAGTGGGTGTTTAACAGCACTGTCATGTTTTTGTTTCAGAGAATCAACCCTCCCCACTGTCCATGCTAGTGAATGCCATGAAACCTATCAAGACGGTACTTCATCATCATGCTTTGGTGAATTCCCAGTTTTGAAGCTTGTATTATTAATGTTGCCAGCCTTTGGAAAACAGCGATGTGGTCTGTTGGGTTCAGATTCCTGGCAGGATGGGATATGGGGAGGGATTAAATGGTCCACTGGGAAAAAAGATTTTTAGTTCAGAATGTCACCTACCCAGTACCTAGAGACCATTAATGTTAATTAGGTACTGCACTGCTTTTATTTGCCAGAAAAGCAGCATGGTTCTTGTCATCTTCCAGGCTCTCCGTCTCAGTGTAATAGAATCCATCGACTGCTGCTGTTTTTAATCTTTCTGGAATTTATGGAATATGAAATGTAAATAAAGGCCAAACTCTGCCAATTGAGAGCGCAAACCTACAAATGTTTATTCACACGTAAGTCCATACATTGGCTGCAGTGGAATGCTCCTCCTGTGTATAAGTATTACTTATGTGATTAAGGATTTACAGATGGGACTCAGCTTCAGGATAACTATTCCCATGAAGGAATTATTGTGCAACTTTCCGCTTCAGGTAAACTGGGTGGGCTTTGACAGTCTGCTATAAATATCCGCTCTGATTTTTTTTTAAGTTTCTTCTGTAAAACTTTTTTTGGATAACGTTTATTTGCTGACAAGTGCAGTTTCAGATCAGCTAAGATGATTTTTTTTTGAATTTGTACTAAAACTTCAGCTGCCATATCATTATGTTCAATATACAACATTTCTAGTTTTAAAACAACACGGTTGCAGTATCTAGTAGATTTCTTAAAACGTTAGTTTGTGTGTTACTTTGCTTGTCTGCGTAAACTGCCTTTAGCTTTCATTGGGAAAGTCAACTTATAAATCTAATAATAAGTAAGTTATTACCCCACAGTGAATCAAAACCCTGAGCTTTTTATTAACTGCAAGTGAATTTGAAGGTTTGTCATTTTTTAAATTTTGCATTACAGTTTTCTACCATTGGAGGGCAGCATTGTTTAATGCATATTTTCTTTTGTATGCCTGCGTATTCTTAAGTAGTCCCTTAGTCGCATTATACTTCAGTGGTAAGCATAGCAAATAATACTGTGGTGTGTGTTTGTGAGAAAATCCTGTACAACTGAAGGTGTAAATATGGTAAGTTTTGTATTTAAAGTCTTTTGAAATGTCCCTCTTAATGACTCATGACACTGTGATGAAAAACATAAGACTTCTGTCCTTAGAGTTGTTCACAAGAACTTTTGTAGTTGCACCCTAACTATATGTAATGAATCTTGGGGTAGAAAGTCCACTTTTAGCTTTATGGGCATTATGGCCCAGTGGAGAGCGTGCACTTGGTTTCTGTTCACATTTACATTTTAATAGTGATACATGCAGAAATTCAGTGTGAACAGTTGTTGGCTCGATAGGTTTTACCTGAACATTCTGGGAAGTTAAATTGATAGTTACTATCAGTAATAAGGTCATACATATCATTTTTCCTTTTTCTGTGGCAACTTTTAGACTTTCTTGCTTATGTGAGACCACTTGAAATCTAGAACTTAACAGTATTTTTGCAAATAAGATGCTCATTAATGCCATCCATCACACACTTACATTTTAAAGTGGGCCTCATGTTAGTGTTTTTCTGGTATGGATCTTAAAGTGTTTTATCTAAAACCTGTCAGTATTTTAACTATTTTAGTTATTTATCAGCCCTCTCCATCAACATTTTTTTTTGTTATGACTGGCACCAATTTTACAAAACTCCCCTATTGAGTTGCCATGGTACATATATTTTGCCATGTTCTTAGATGCTGGCTGATTTCCCCATATGGTTTCCATATGGAAACATGTTGCTCTTGTTAGCCACCTTCGAAGCAGTCTGTCAGCCAGGTCCCCACTCAGAAACAAATAAATTGTCTAGTGTCTACTGTATTTCCTTTCAGGCTGCACTCTCCACTTTAAACTTGGCTTCATTTCAGAACAATCAAAATCCAATCAGCAGTCGTGCTAACTCCATATGTTTTATTTCCAGACTATGCTATGTAGAGGAAGCTGAAACTATTTTCAATATGTAACAATGTTTAGGGCGACATGCCACAGATCACTTTCCATGTTTTCCACTGACTACAAGCAAAAGCTCCATTCAGTAGGACAGAGCCACTCAGGTTTCATGTAGAAAACTGTGGTCAGCCAAATACTGCAGATCAAATTAGTTTTCCTGAAAAGCGGAGCACTTCTAATACAAAGTGATACAAATGTAAACTACAATTAGTCCGATGTGTTGGAAGTATGTGAGAGCCCTCTGGGGCTGAGTCTTAAAACATAAGCAAGCTTGACACATTACCTTATTAAAACAGTGCTTGCAAATGTAGCTAGCTCCATGAGCTTCCACCAGCCCTCCGTGGTTGGTCTTTGGGCACTTTCTATTTAGTTTAGCTGCCTGTCTTAGAACAAGTCAGTCAACTTCTCTCTCTCCCTGTTTTACAGGTGATACACACTAAAATATAGTAAATTTTGGATGCCCAAATAAATATGCACAGGTAGGCATGTCCACATATGCAGGCATGTGCGCTTGCAGCAGCTCAAATACGTATGCAACAATTTAAGCTGTGGATTTTTGGCTCCACACATGTGCCCAGACATGCAGTTTGTTGTGGGGCAAGTTGTGCCACTTGGGGCAAAATAACTCTGCCCAGCTCCTCCCGGATCTGCAGCCAGGGGGAGCTAGAGCCTGGGGCCAGCACCTGTGCTGGCTCCATCAGTATAAAAAGTCGCCCTGGCAAGTAGCTGAAGGCTACTTGCTCTCAGGAGCTTCTGGGGCCCAGCCAATTAGTATCTGAGAACACTAGCCCTTGTGCCAGCTGGACTGCTGAAGCAGCCCTAACCTAGACTTCCCTGCACCCTCTAACCACTGCAGCAGTCTGGCAGTGGGGGCTGCTGCCCAGCTGTGACCTGCTGCCACCTGACATAGCATGTGGCCCCAAGGCTGCATACTTGCCAGACCTGGATGGGGACTACATGGCAACAGCAGAAGCATCTGCACCTCTGGACCAGCTGCTAGTGAGCTGTGGCTGCACAGTTGGCCTTTGTGCAGCACAACTGCCATGTGTACCGCTGCCCGGCCAGCTGGGCAGCTATCACCCAGAAGATGTTCTCAGTGTGGTGGCCTGCTTTGAACTGTC